TTCTATGAATCAAAGTCAGATGGGGAATTGTTGAGTCAGGACAGGCCCTTCTTATTTCTCAGAGAAGAATCTGATAATTTTAAGTAAGCCCATGTTCTTTTCAGTATTGATATTAAGGAAATACTACTATTAAGACTGTTGGCTATAAAACAGTTTGACTGAGTTCTCTCTCTGAAAACTTACATCATTAATACCATTGACTCATCCTGGAATGAGAGATCTTGGGAAAAGCCAAACTAATTGATCCACTTCAATTAGCGAACCTTTTGTATAAGTTCAGGGCTGAAAAAGAAAGTGTTAAATAATAAACCAAAGTAATTATGTTCTATATAAAGCCATGTTAGACAGGTACTACATACAGGCTAAACTTGTTGGTTTCTGTTAGTTAAACAATCTGGCAAATAGAAATCTGCCATGAAGACGAGAAACATTGTCATTTGCTATTCAACTTAACTAAAACTGGATGCTCTCTGTGCCATTGTTTACTGATTAAATTCTTTTTGCATCTATCTCTTTAATCTATACCCTTACAATTCCCCCTATATAGTTCTCATTCCTGTATAATTCCATCTACACAAACAAAGTGGGAAGCTCTTTTAGTAATCTGTTAAATAGCTTCTGAATTAAAGACATTTTGTTTTTGGTAATGATGCTTCTGCAAAATGTGACTCATGCATGTAAATCCTGAGTAAATTGGAAAGATGGTCCTTTGGTTGGAAATAATTGGCTTTACTGGGGTAGTTGGTGATTATTCTTCACTTCAAGCAATGGTAGGAAAAGATCTCTGCCTGACATAACTAGATTCTAGTTTGTTTCTGGGTAAAATGCAGAGAAAAAAAGGGAGTGAAAGAGTATAGCAATCATAGCAGTTGAGTTCCTTCCTCAGTTTCCAAAGCTACAAGAATTGAGAATTATGTTCAGAATGCCTATTCTTTACAGTAACTTCAGCTGAAACAAGAGATTCTGTTTCCTATTTTGGAGTCCTTTACAGGAATATATCACTTCATCTATCATCCAAGCTGTATTTTAAAAGTATATATACATTCCATTCACATGGATCATATGTACCAACTGAAGCCTTCTGAGTAAGCTGTCACCTTTTCCTTTTTCAGTCTTAAATCCAGTATCTAGTTTCAGTTCTGTGAGAAACTAAATGTGAAGCCAGTAGCTTTAATGTTTTGTAATAAAAGTTATACCAGTGTAATTTGAAATGATCTTTTTTAGAGATCTGGCTGTTTTGTATATAATTGTTTAAAACCTTGGTTTGTATATGAAAGAAAGTAACTTTTTATCTTATTTAGCTAAATACAGGAATTGTTTTTTGGATTTTAAACATAATTTGTGTCATGGGAAAAAAATAAACTGTTCTGCTTATTCTAAAATATTGTCTTTATCTGCCATAAAATCTGTTTTCCTGGGGAAAATCTGATTCCGATGATGTCTAGCACAACTGGATAATGTGTTTTGGAGATTCTGCTCCCAGGTCCTGTGGCTTGCTCTTCATGCTCCATTAGTTTGGGTTGCCTTGAGCTCCCAGTGTCTGGAGGTTGTAGGGTTTGATGAGGAGCAGCATACTCAGGCTTAATCCCAGAAATTTGGAGTGGCTGCAAGTTTGAAAACTATTCGAGACCAGCAGTTCCCTGGCTTTGATTCTGGATGGGCTGAATATATTCATTATTCACAGCTCCTAGGTGCCTTTTAAACTATTCCTGTTTAAATTATTCCATCTGCTTGCCAAATACATGAAAATATTAGGAATAGCAGTGAATGAGGTACTGGTTCCTGCATGTAAAACAATCATTCTCCTGTTTGTATCAGCAGGTACAAATGTTCCTAACTGGACCCAGGATTTTGCTTCTAAATGAACAACCAATTTCCTGTTTTCTCACTTTTATAGGTCATTTTGTGCACATAAACCAGTGAAAGCTGCAAGCTAGGGCTGTGTTTTCATGGCAGTCATACCCACAATCAACCTTGATTTGCTCAGTCCAATTTTCTTGAATTACGTGACACACTGAACCACAAACTAACCATGTAAGCTAAGTTTAACATAGTAGAAAATACAGTTGACTAAGTTTAGTTGTAAATGGTGTGTGCACAGCCTATATTCATTTGAAACATGCTTTCATAGGTCTCTGAGTGTCCCAGTTCCCTTCACTGATAGGCAGAATGCATCAGCAGTCTTTGCACACCACATGTCTTATGATTCACAGATCAAAATCTAACCTTGGAGCGCTCTTATTTTAGTTGGGGATTGTATATTTTTAAATCTCATGATTAATGTGTATACATGAACAAAATCCTGTAGAATACATAAAGGACAGCAACAGGAAATAATTACATTGGAGGTTTTTGGTTATTTTGCCAACATTTTTTTTAAAAAAACAACAACATGTAAACTATAAATCTTAATTGCTTAAAACAGACTAAGGATTCATGCATATATACACATACATATGCACCATAAATGATGCATATATATCCCAAAATCTTATCTTTCATTTCTGAATATATTAACTGCCCAGAGTCACTTCCTCATGAGATAGGTGATGTCTAAATTTGAAATATAAATGAATGTAAAAAAATTATGGATGATTCCCCCTATATGCTATACATTATTTTAACAAGTTTGGTTTATATGAAATAAAGAGAATGGAATGTTCAAGAAATACATTGTGGCAGAATAGAAACCCTTTTATAGCTGCAGGCTGCACTTTTTTGCTGTCATATTTTGGTGGCATGTAGGCTGTGAGTTTTCCTTTCTGGTCAAGAGATGTAAAGCACTTGATAAAATTGGCCATAGTCTCTTCCTTGATAAAACTGAATAATATGGGATGGATGGTCCCACTACCAGATGGATTCACAGTTGAACAACTGTACACAATACATGGTCCTTAATGGATCTATAGCTACATGGAGAGACTTATGCAGAGGGTTATTTCAGGATTCTGTCCTGGGCCCAGTGTCAACATTTTTATAAATGACTTAGATGAGAGGATTTACAGATAATACAACACTGGATAGGGGGATTGCTAATACTTCAGAAGATGAGTTCAGGGTTCAAAGGATTCTTGATAACTTTGAACTGTATCTAAAATAATGCTATTCAATGGTAAGAAATTAAAGGTTCTGCACTTAGGTAGGAAAACAACAGATGTACAGGAACATTTTGGTAGTACCTGGCTTGGCAGTAGTACTTGTGAGAAGGATCTGGGTGTCCTGGTAGACCACAAATTAAGCATGAGCCAATGCAGTCTTGAACTGTGTTACATCACAGATACAATGTCAAGACCATGGGAAGTGATGGTTCTGCTCTACTTTGCACTGGTCAGACTCCACCTGGAATACTGTGTCCAGTTTTGGATGCTGAGGACCTGGAAAGAGTATAGAGAAGAGTGACAAGGATGGTGCAAGGCTTGGACTCTAAATGCTGTGAAGAGTGGTTAAATGAACGGGGCATGTTTTGCTTAAAAAAGAGAAGGCTAAAGGCGAGACATGATGACAGTCTTCCAATACTTGAAGGGCTTTCACAGGAAAGAGAATGTGAATTTGTTTTCTTTAATGCCTGAGGGCAGGACAAGAACAAATGGATGAAGGTTTGAAAGATATTCAAATACAGCCATCAATATGTAAGTACTGATCCTGAAAAATTTTAGGGGTTACTGGGGCTACAAATACAAGTAGCAATCCAGACAAAAGGTCTTGATTTACAAATCCAAATGGATGTGAGTTCTTAAAGAAGAAAATACTGAACCAGCAATTGCAAACAATTTCACATGATGGAAAAAAGGACAGCAGAAGACAACAATATGACTATATAAAAACAGTGATAATCTGCAAACAAAAAAAGGACAGGTACAGGAAATGGGAAGAGGAAGTGGTCACAAAGAGTACAGACCAATAACTTGTACTGTAGAACTAGTGTTAGGAAAGTGAAAGCTCAGAATAAGCTGAGGCTAGCATTGGATGCAAAGAATAACAAAAAGGTTTTCTTTGGATATGTTAAAAATAACAGGAAAAGAATTGGTATAACAGTTGCTCAATGAAAATAGTAAAATCTTAAAAGGCAACAAAAAGTTATTTAACTCCTATTTTGGTTTAGCCTTCTCCAAAGGAAAGTGAGTATTCCACTATGAAATTGTGAAGATCAGGATGAAGGGGTAGGACTGAACCTTGAAATTGGTAGAAACATAATCATGGAATACCTCTTTAATTTTCCAGAACCAGACGAATTGCATTCTAAAGTGCTGAGGGAACTGATCATCTGGCTGAGCTCTTATGTATTATCCTGGAAAAATTCTAGCAGATAGGGGGAAAGAAAATCCAGCTGCTGCAGACCAGTCAATCTGACACTGATACCTAGGAAGATTCTAGAGCAGAAAAGATTAATCTGTAAGCACTTTGAAAGCAAGACAGCATGGATTTGTCATGAACAGATTTCATTTTTTGATCAGGTAACTTCCTTAATACATTCTGGGGATGCTTTAGATGTAATATATCTTGATTTAACAACAAGGTGTCTCATAGAATGCTGATAGGAAGCTAGTTAAGTGTGAGCTTTATTTATGATGATGGGGTACATAACTGGTTTGAATATTGTACTCAATACTTATCAAAAGAGAACCAGTTTGGTGTAGAGGTTAAGGCACCAGGTTAAAAACCAGGATACCATGAGTTCTAGTCCCTCCATAGGCACAAAGCCAGCAGGGTGACCTTGGGCCAGTCACTCAGCCCTAGGAAGGAGGCAATGGCAAACCACTTCTGAAATCTTGCCAAGAAAACTGCAGGGACTTGTCTAGGCAGTTGCCAACACTGATTCGAAAGTACACACATACACTCATCAAGAGTTCCTCATCAAACTGAAGATGAGTATTGAGAAAGCTCTGATGCTGAAAAAGGTGGAAGGAAAGAGAAGAGGATGACCAGTGGAAGGACTCAGTTATAGTAGTGATGAATGTACTGTTGGGAAACCTGAAAGAACAGG